CCTGAGTTCAAATCCAGCCTCAGACACTAGCTATGTGACCTGAGGCAAGTCACTTAACTTCTGGTTACCTCAGGATTAAATGAAATAATTGCAAAGTGCTTAGCACACAGTAGGCACTATATAAATGTTTGTTCTCTATTCCTCTTTATTCCTCCCTTGAGTGGGAGAGAGGCATTCTAGTACTTCAGAACTTTGGCAACTGTGTGCTTGATGGATTGGGGCAGACTAGAGGCAGAGAGACCAATTAGGACAGTACTACTGCAGTGGTTAAGGAAAAAAATGATTAAGGGTTGATTAGAATGGTAGCCCTACAAGTAAATAGAAAGGGAGGGGTACAAGAGATATTATGGAGGCAGAATTAATGGGACTTTGTAACTGAATAGATATGGGGTAGCAAACATGGTTGACAATGACTAAGTGATGATGGTACCCTGAATAGAAATGGGGAAGTTAGGAAGAAGGAAGGGTTTGGGATGAAAGACAATGAGTTCTGTTTTAGACATTTTGAATGCAGATGTCTACAGGATAACTAGTTGGAAATGCCAAACAGGAAGTTCGTAATGTAGTGCTAGGGCTCTGGAGAGAGAAAAGGGATAGATACTTGGATCTGGGCATCACAGAATCATAGGACCACAGGCTCACATATTTAAAGTTAGAAGGTACTACCTAAGCAATCTCATCAAACCACTCATTTTTTTTCTTTTTTTTCTTTCTTGGCGAGGCAATGGGGTGAAGTGACTTGCCCAGGATCACACAACTAGTAAGTGTCAAGTGTCTGAGGCCAGCTTTGAACTCAGGTCTTCCAGAATCCAGGGCCTGTGCTCTATCCACTGGGCCACCTAGCTGCCCCTAAACCACTCGGTTTTAAAGATGAGGAAACCAAGATCCAGGAAGTTAAGTGACTTGCCCAACTTCACATCGGCAGTGATCATCAGAGTTGGGATTTAAACTCCCATCCTCTGATTCCAGAACCAGTGATCTTTCCACTGTACCTTGGAGTCATCTGCATAAAGGTGCTACATGAACCAGTGGGAGTTCATGAGACCATCAAGGGAGAAAGAACATAAAGAGAAGAGAAAAGGGCCAAGAATAGAGTTACTAGATCAAAGGTCAAGATATGAAAGATTATGCAGAAAAAGATAACAAAAAGGAGAATGGGCTTGCATAGGAGGCAGGCTACGCTTCTCCTATATGCCTATTCCAGCAAACATTCTCACCAGACCAATGACGAAGAAATCTAAAGAGAAGCTTAATTAAGTCATTTCTTGTTGTTGTTGTGCAGTTGTTTCAGTTGTGTCTGACTTTGTGACCCTACCTGAGGTTTTCTTAGCAAAAATACTGGAATGGTTTGTCATTTCCTTCTCCAGCTCATTTTACAAATGAGGAACTGAGGCAAACAGGGTGAAGTGACTTGCCTAGGGTCACACAGATAAAAAATGTCTGAGCCTGGATTTGAACTCATGAAGATGAGTCTTCCTGATGACAAACCCAGTACTATATCCATGGCACCACCTAGCTACCCTAAGTTATTTCTACTATCCCAAAGCTACACATACACACACACACACACACACACACACACACACACACACACACACAGAGACAGAGAGAGAGAGAGAGAGAGAGAGAGAGAGAGAGAAATAAAACCAAAAACCAGCTAGAAACACATGGGCAAGCAGAAAAGGGGTCTAACATCAGCACCGATAGAGAAGTCAGCAGCTTCCCAGTGCTATTGGCCAGAGATATGTGTAGCCTTTAGGGCTATGCATACAGAGGCAACAAGAGTGGAATCCTCCCTGTTATCCCCATTCCCCCAAATCCTCAGTGTGGTCAGAAAGCCATAGTGTGGGAACTCTGGAAGCCATGGGGAGTAGGAGGTAACAGCGAAAATGCTACAGAGCTCAGCCCAGGATAGCTCAGGCTATCAGGGGCTACTAAGTCCCTAACATTCTGACCTGAGATGCCAGAGAAGGTCCTGAGGATTCAGGGCTCTGAACTTCAAAGAACCCTTGGGGCCTAACATCAGGAGGTGGAGTTTAGCACAGGAATTCAGGGGACCCAGCAAAAGACCAATCAGAGAATATCACCCCACCAAAACACAGTAGAGGGTAGAGCTTGACCTTTGTGTAAAGTCCCAATTCAGGATCTAAAGCTGGAGGGATGAATAAACCAAAGAAAATACCAACTACTATACTAATTCCTATAGCTCTAGAAATGTCTTCTCCCACTCCCACCAAAAAAAACAGAGGGGAGAATACCTTCATAACAACTACCAACAGAGACTCAAGGGAAATGGATTTTCTGCAAAAATTACATGGACACCCAGAAGAAAGGTAGGAAGAGATAAAAATAAATAAATAAAAATTATGGAAGAAAGAATTGGAAGGAGATAAATAGCATAGAAGAAGTGGTAAACCTTAACCAAGTAATGCACTACCTGAAAAAGATAATAGATCAGACAGAAATCAGTGATTCCACTAGATGATAAGAAATATTAGAACAAAATCAAAAGACTAAAAAAAAAGAACAAAATGTGAGATATCTGATATCTGACACAACTGATCTGGAAACTAGGTCAAAGAAAGATAACTTAAAAATCATTGGACTTCCTAAAAAACTATTTTTAAAAAGCGTGAACACTATACTTCAAGAAATTAAAAATGAAAATAGCTAAGACATATTAGAACCAGAGGGCAAAGGAAGATAGGAAAAATTCACCATTAATCTCCTGAAAAAAAATTCAAGAAGAAAAGTCCTGGTAATGTTATAGCCAAAATCTAGAGCTCTTATGTCAAAGAAAAAAATACTGCAAGCAACCTGAAAGAAGTTCAAGTACTAAAGAAACATGATCAACATCACACAAGACCTGGCAGCTTCTCCTCTAAATTAGAGATTGTGGAATAAAAATTCCAAAAGGTATAGATTTACAATCAAGAATGACTTATTCTATAAAACTGAGTATAATCATATGGTGGGGCAGGGGGTGGAGGTGGGGAGGGTGAGAGGAAGGCATGGATCTTTAATGGAAAGAGATTTTTAAGCATTTTTGATGAAAAGACCAGAGATGAAGAGGAACTATGAGATATAAGCACAAGAATCAAGAGATATCTACAAAGGTAAATTTATTTGATTATCTGGAAAGACCTGTATGATGATGTAGTGCCAACATTCGAATGGGGAAACAGGGAAAAGTAAGCGTCTCTTCAGAATCTTAATTTCTTCAAAGGATATTAAGGGAGTTAAAGAGTGAAGACAGAGGACCTGAGGGTTGATTGGTTCCGTTCTAAGGGTTTGGAAATGGGAGAGAAAAGGGCAGGTAAAAAGAATAAAGCATTATTTAAAGGAAAAAAAAGGTGGTATTGCTATTTTTCATAACTGGGTTAAGTGACTTGCCTAAGGTTACACATCTAGGAAGTGTCTGGGGCTGGATTTGAACTCATCATCTTGAGACCAGGTCCAGTGCTCTATCCACTGTCTCTAGGTACATGAGTATGAGGTAAGAAGTAGATAATTTGGTTGATAATTCACAGGAATGAGGACAGAGTTGCAGGGTTTTGTGTTATATGTGCATTTGAGGGGATGCTAATAACTATGAAGCTGAATGAGGGTAAAGATACAAAAGTAATCAGCTGCAATAATGTTAAAGTCTTCTTAATAACAGAGGTTGTAAAGAAAGGAAGAATGGATGTGAACACTATGAAGTAAAATGAAATGGTGCTGAAGGGGGCATAATATGATTTAAAGTTGAAGTCAAATATGGACTGCATGGAATTCAAGGTCACAAAGTAAAGCTCTGAGTGGTCAGATGATGGAACTTAGAATAGACAGTGACATGCCAGGAGGAGAATAAAAATATTAGATGTATAAAAAGTAGTATGATATTTACAAACTCAAAAGAAAGCTCATTTCAAGCAGGGATTATATTATTCTTTGTAACTTGTATCCTCAAACACCTAGTACAGTATCTAGCACATAGTAGGTGCTTAATAAATATTTGTTGATTGATAGTAGTATCACCTTGCTTCATTCCAAACTGGAGTGAATGACATTTGTCTACAGTATTAATCCACACTTTACAGATGCTTGAAAAGCTAACCTCTAAATGTATGGTCATTATTTTAATCTACAAAGACATGACCAATAGATTTAAAAGACAGTTACATAGCATTTGCTATGTAATTATTGCCTGAGCTTGTCTTGGAGGCTAGCTGGCAATTGGGTAATAAGTTCCTATCCTTGAAACAAACTATAATAAAATTATAGTTTTGGTGCATTAAAACAATTTGATTTTCAAAGCACAATCAACTACATAATTATTATTATTTCAAGACAAGTACTGCATTATTCCTCAAAATGGACTCTTAGAAATGGTATGGTAGTTCTATATGCAATTAGGAAATCTACAAAGTAGTAACAAATACTGGGAGATATTTATAATATGAAAGCTAGCAATGGCTGTTTTGTGAATGCAAAGTGTGAAGGAGCAAGAATGTGAAAATTACTGTGTTAAAATACAAAATTGCCATGGATAGCAAAAAGAGGGTTCATTATTCTTTCCTAGAAATGGATTCAACTTGCTGAAAGGAATGAAAAGAATAAGGGTGCCCAAAGGAAGTCTACATACATTGAAGGGGAAAAAAAAATCTGATCGAGGGACACTCTGATATCTCCAAAGAGAACAACAGGTGTTCTATAAATGTTAAAATGGCTTCAACTTTTATGGTATTGAGAATTTATTCCTCAAGAAGTTTGTTTTTTTTCATTATTAAATTCTATTGCAGAGTTTGCTATTAGTCCTGGCTAGATTATAGTGGGAACACTTTGCTATAGCTGAATATCTATTTTTTATACTGAATCCAACATGTAATTTGTAAAATTCCTCTGAAAGTCACTCTTTAATTCATTTGAGAAACATCTAAGCAAAAATGTACACGTCATTATTTCTGTAATTAGCAAAAAATTAATCAGACATACATATAGAGAAAAAATGATTTACAAACCAATAGGCTAACTGTACAGCCAATCTTTTTGCCATCCACTTCTCCCATTTTCATGCAGTCCCTAAAACAAAATGCAATAGTCAGAAGTCTCAAGTACAGACAAATGCAGTATGTTTCATGAAACAACAGATGCCAGCTAAGATTATATAATCACAGCAGACAGGAATGCAATTAGACATTCAGCCACTGGAAGAAAGGTTATATCATAGCATGCTATGATTGTATATGACCCATTCAGGTGTGCCTATGAGCTCCATACCAAAACTTTGTGCTGAGGATTACATCTCCAGGGTAAGAGATAACACCATTATTTGGGAAGTAGAGAATAAGAGGGAATGATATAAATGTGATCGAGGCATATTGTTACATAAAATGGGTACTAAAAAAGGTTTATTTCAACTTAATCATCTTAATAGGAATAAATGCTTTAAAAATAAATATATAGTGGAAGAAGAGGGACAGACTTAATTGATCCCATTATTTAGAAAGGAGAGACAGTAATATAATATTCTTTTCATTAAAAAACAAGACTGGTCCCATCATAGACCACTTTAATTCTTCATCCATGGTCCTATTAATCAGAAAGATGCTTAGTTAATAGATTTTCAGAAGGGGACTCCCATTTACTAGGACTTGCCCACAACTGGCCAATAAGAATTTCCCACTGGCTTGGTTTTGAGCCAGTTATCTAAGTTCAAAAAGTCTCATGTTCTGATTGTCAGTCCTTTGAACTGATTACTCAAACAGAAGATTTATTCAATTTTAACCATCTGATGTCCTAACCCTGGTCCAAGATTTCTGGAAAGCATTGTGTAGGAGCTCACCTGTAGTCTAATAACCTCTCCATTAGACGGGTTACAGTGGCGATCAATGATACGCCACTCTCCCTCCATGTTTCCCGTTCAATTTTCTTCAGTAGACTGGAAAAGAAAAGAACCCAGGGCAATTTCAACATTTATTTTTATCAGTCACCATGACAACCATTTTACTTCATCAGTACCTTAAATACCTTAGCAACCACTGCAACATTTCACAAGTACCACGATTTGCAAACAATGTCTTACCTAGGATATGGACCAAATAGTGGAATTCTAATCCAGGAAGCATTGACAAAGCAAATTGATTTTCAGATTATCCAAGTCATCAAGTCAAAAAACATGCATAAGATTTTCAAAACACACAGACATCTCACAGCTCAAAGATATTTCCAAGTCCCCCTTAGACTGTTAGAAACTTGCATCTTGGAAAATTAAAGGACATGATACACATGGAATATAGGAGTAGCTCCAAGTTTCTTTTCAGTAGGATACTGTTTTATTCACATAAAAATGTTTTCCTACCTCTCAGTAGAATGCATCTTCATCCAGGCAATTTTACTGCAATGCAACTGCTACAGGAAAATCCTTGTACAGACGGTATGACGTTTTGCGTTTTTTCCTTTCACTTAACATTTGCCCACTCAATACATATTGTACTATCTGTGCACTCACTCAACAGTTTCATTCATTTAGTCATTAATCACAGAGGATTTTCTATGTAGGTTGTTAAAGCAGATTGATGACAAGTACTGAACCACATCTCTCCTCCTACATTTTCCCCTTATTTTTAAGCACCTTGGAGTCGAGGCACTAAATAAACGTGAAATAACAACAATCATAATAATTAGGAGCTGTGTTTTTTTTGTCCCCAACCCACAAAAAATTCAACAACAAGATCAGTGAATTCTTTCAGCGCTCCCAAACTGAACTTTTTTCTCAGAGACAAAAGTGAACAGCCTATGTCCACTCGTACAGGGAGGCTTTCCCCATTCCAAACTAATAATCAAGATTATTTTACTCCAAAGCCCTCTTCAATTCCTCTTTTCTTTTTTCTAAATTTCACCAGAAAACATATGGAAGAAACATTAAATATGAGTGAAAACTAAGTAGATGACTTGCCTGGCACCATTTTTTAAAAAGAACCAATAAAAGAAATCTAGAATTTTAAGAGAAGTGATGAAGCCTTATTTCTGGATCCCAGATTGTGGTTATGCTCACTCCCAAGTTTGTTTTTTTTTTTTTGGAATTTAGCATCCCTTCGCTCAGTCTGCTGGACTTATTATCTAGCTGTTTCTCTTTTTGCATCCAATCACATATGCTTTGTTAGCGTACCCTGTGCTTGTTCTCTTAATGCTGTTAGACTAAGTGAGGGGAAAGTAGCATATGGAAGGGATGGAAGGGATGGATCTTAGCCTGACTAATCACACAAGGCAGAAGGTCTCTTGGTTTTTGTTTTTTTTGGTGTTTCTGGCATTTAAACATTTTAAATGTATAGTACTCCCTATCAGAAACCTCTGAACAGCACCTTGTTCACATTGAAATGCCAAAACAGTATTGAACCATGTACTAATTCAAGATCTGCCTGCCAAATCAATTTGGGAGGATATAACAGCTCTGTGAAATGACTGCCATGCACAACCACACACTTGATGGCTTCAAAAACAAAGAATTCAAGTCAAAGTAATGAGTTCTAAAAATACATGAAAGCTTCTGTTTTAGAGATATGAATTTCATTACTCTTCTCAGCTCTCTGGTGCAGTAAGTAGGGAGGTTAGGTAACATACCCTGGCCCCAAAAAGTGAGGAACTTGGTAGAACATATTTTCATAATTAACTCAAGATTCAGTGTTGCAGTTCAGGTAAGGATCTGAGTCTCTAGATTATAGGATTATAGATCTAAACTGGAAGAGACCATCTGGCTTAACTTCCTCGTTTTACAGATGAAGAAACTGAGGCCTGGAGAAGTTAAATGATTTGCCCAAAGTTACAAAGGAATGAAGAGGCAAAGCTGGGATTCAAACTCGGATCCTGAGACTATAAAGTTCTATTCTCACTATGGGGAAATTCACTTATTATTATCTCTTTTTATGGACAGTAGGTTGGAAAGGGAGGATTTTTAAGTTGAGAGAAGAGAAATTGGTCATTCCCATCTTATTCCTAGGAATTGTTTGACATCTATTTCCATGTCAGATTAAAATACTACTTGATGCTACATTATAAATAATGGGATCCATTTTATAACACTTGGAGGTTTTGGGAAACAGAACAAAATATCTCAATTATAGAGTAACCTGCTCATACATGTCTTAGGTGCTGTGTCATAAGGTTTGGGAGGGGGCATATCCCCCAAAGGGTCACACTGTACAACTCTTATGTCTACATGGCATTCTCTTGCCTAAACAGTAGCTAAGAGTTTTTTAAATTTAGAAAAAAATCACTGTTCTATTTTCCCCAATATTTTATGACATTTTTGTCATTGAGAACTAGAACTGTCTGGTAATTTCTAAAGTATCATTTTTTGCTTATGTTGTTTATTTGTAGAAGCTTTTCTCACAAGGAACAAAAACTTAGTAAAACTATATTCAAAATAGTTCAGTACCATGGGAAATTTAGTCCTTTTAACTTGGTATGTCTTCAACAGAAAGTATCTTGGGAAAATACTAATTGGGAGATAAGGAGAAATTCAAACTGCTACTTTTGGAAAGCTTTGCTAAAAAAAAAAAGTTCATTATCTCTGAAACAATCACAAACTATTATAAAATATTTTATTTTGTCTATTTATTATTCATTATGACAATTACCAGGCTATTACAATTCAGGTGACTGCTTAAACAAAATATATTCAGCAAGGCAAAAAATAAATATTAAATTGAAACCACCCTAGTAAAAGGGGGGAAGGACAAAACAATAAAGGGAGTACAGTGGCTATTTTGGTTATGGTTATCAAGGGTCCTGGAAAAACTCTGAAGTACATCCAACAGAAATGGCGCCTCACATTAAGTCCTTAACCCCTACTCAATTCTGAATCAATTGGGGTTCATAAAACCAAGAGCACTCCAATTACATTTAGCATTGGAGAAATATATTGAATAGAAGATGGAAATTCAGTGTACCAAAATGGAAAGCAAATTGGAATAGATGTCAGCAGATCAGGGTCCTGATAACCAGTGACTTGGGCATGTCATATATTCTTGATGTTTTATGGTTTCACAAAATATCAATTTTTGGAATGGCATTGTGAATCTTACCTATGTGCCTGAGATGCTACATGGATCAGTGAGGAAATGGATCCATAGAACTATTTTATATATAAATATAAACACACAATCACGCATATGTGTATGTGTAGGGGTGTGTGTGTGTGTATGTGTGTGTATACATAGATAAATATTGTTAAGCTTTTGAGAAGAAAGGGACATCACTGCTGGAATATCATTCTTTTAAGCACATTAATTCCTCTTCACCAATTCTTTGATGAACTTAATCTATGCCATTTTAAAAAGGAAAGTAATCTTGCTAGGTAGGTTCTGCCTCCTCCTCCACCCACCTCCAAATCCAACTTTATATTCTGGCAGCACTGAGTTACTTATAGCTTTTCTACTTTTGAATGAATATCAAACAATACTTAAGGAAGCATGAATTTAAAAGTCCAACTGAGGGTCTGCTCCCTGACTTCATGTATTTTCTAAACTCTTAATTTATGTGACAACTCACTGTGATATACCAATTCATTATGGTTGCTCTTGCCAAAGGAACACTTCCTGAAATTCAGTTTGGGTTTCTCATTTTCCTGACCACAGGTACAAATGACATTTAATGATCACTTAAGTGTTGGCTTATCCCCCTATGCTAATTACAAAAGCATGAAAGCAGAATATTGTTGCCATCTTTGTGAAACTATGCTAAAAAGGCAAAGCAAGGATAAAAATGTCAACATAAGACATCAGGTACCTTAAAAGAGTCACAACTGCAGAGGGCTTAATATTTTAATTGTTGACTTTTTCCCCAATGTCAGGGATCATCCTCTATTTCAAAGTCATTTTTATGTATAAGCCATCCCAATTAGATGCTATCAGGCTTTTTTTTTAATAAAAGAAATCAGAGGCACTATTGAAATATGTAAGTATTTAATCTTACAAATTTATTCCAAGAAATGAGTCACAAATCTTTAGAGAATCACTTCATTGAAAGCTTTCTCATTTTTGTTCTCTGTTCAAGCCCCAAATGAAGAGCCCATCTAAGAGCTGTTGTAGAAAACAATTTATTATATTAGAGGAGGTTTTAATCAGAATTCTTGCTAAACTCTTGTCAGAGAAAGACAGATACCCAGCATACTAGGATGAATGAGTACTTGGTGTATTATTAATAAAAGTTTGAGTTTAATTATGGCATTAATCACATGAACATGGTGCTGTGTAGAATGTTGCACAAAGAACTTCTTTTATCATTCCCCAAGACAATTCATTTTCTCCCCCACTTTTTTTGCTTCAGCCTAATGCTTCTCTTAATGCTTCCATAACAATTATTGTAATAATGTGTACATGCAAACTGGCCTGCTCTGTCATTCACAACTTTATCTAATGCAGCCTGTCCAAGCTCCAAATTAAGGATCATGAGTAGATTTCTTGTTTGTTTGTTTGGGGAATTTTGTGTTTGACTTTCAGCTATTTAGGGGTAAATATTAGTAGGTTCCTTTAACTACAAAGCCTAGAACTGCATTATTTCGCACTTCTGAAAATAGTGCCAACATTTTACAATCAACAAATGAGGGAATTGCTTCCTTCAAACAAGAAGAAATTCTTCCTAAAAGGTAGACATGTAAGTGTACCAAGGCTTTTAAAGCACATATCCAGAAAATTTTTGAGAAAATAAAGGACCAGTCTGAAATTCCCAAAGCATTAAATCATTCTATCTATTTTGACCCTTTCAAATGCAGACCACTTCAAAGACTGTAGATCAATTGATAATTCCATATCTGTGACTAGAAACTAATTCTACTTGTGTGAACAACCTCAAAGCTCCTGTAGAGGCTCTGTGGAGCAAGGTCCATTATTCCTTTCTAGCCTTCATACAAAACAGAGTTTAGACTAAATTAAAATGTATCTATGAAACTTTAATTTGAAAATCTTGATAAGCAATTCCTAATCACTGAGCAATCGGTCCCAACGAGATATTTGTAGAATGGAATCAACAAGTGTTTCATTTTTAAGGACAGATGCAAATCATGTTAATTCCACAGGAGCTAACCAACTCTTATACCTTGCTTTGATTGAAAAGTATCATCCACTAACTTAATGATTCCCCACATTTCCCTTCCCCCTATCATCTCCACTCAAAGTCATCACTACATTTCCTGATTTTTAAATCATTAGGCATGAAAAGAGAGAATCTTGTTATGTAACACATGCAACCTGCCCCAATCACAGATGAAAATAAAGAGACAAGTCTAATCATTAACATAATAAGAGTTCGGAAATTATCCTTTATTTCACACCTCAAAAAGACAAAGCACGCCTGTGAGACCAAAGCTGTTCATGTAGTTCTGGTCCACAGTGAAGCTGAGTCACCTATCTTTTGCACCAACACCACTCAATGAAAGGAAGATGAGATACATTTATTACTCACATGCTGTTGAAGAGCTCACGGTAAGTTTCATCACCTTTGCCTTCTGACATCAAGCTATCCAATTTGTCAATCAGTTTGGCCTCCACCTGAAACATAGCCAAATATTAGCCGCACTCTCTCTTTCTTCTCTTTCACAAGCAGAATTTCTAGACAAACTGAAAGATATGTATGTATTTTTTTGCAAGGCAAACAGCCATATAAGATGCTCTCATCTCAGAAAAAAAAATATAAATTTAATGAGAGGTCACATTACTTGCTGTGTGTTCAACAGTGACGGTCCCCTTGGAATTTTTGTAGGGCTAATTTAAATGGAGCAACGTGACTTCAAACTACTGGCTGAGTAGCATTTGCTGCTGCTAAGGCAGCTATCTATTTATGGATTCAAACAAAAAAGCCAGTAGCCCAGCTCCACTGCCTGAATTCTCATTGAGAAGCTGCAATGAATAGCAAGTCATAACTCATTTTTTTAAAAAAGTGCCTCCTGCATCAAAATAAAAATTTCAGGTAAACAGGACCACTTTCTCAACAACAGTTTGGGGCTGTGCATTTTAAAAAGTTTTACTAGTGCCTTTTTTCCCCCCAGTATCACAATCATTTCTAAATAAATACTGTTCTCTCTCCCACCTGGAAAGAGACCCTAATTTAGAGGCTGCCTCTAAGACATATGTCACATTCGATTCCCATTGACAACCTGCTCCCTCTTCCCCACTGTCTCTATGGAGAGGAGAAAGGTAAATTCCATTCTTTGTTCATCAGCATCAATACTGGTTTTCACAATTACCTAGAATTTAGTTTTCTTTTAGTGTTCTTTCCATTTACATTACTGTGGTCTTTTTGTGTATTTCAGCAAGCATTTATATAGTTTTAAAAAATGCTTTAAAATGTTATATAATTTTAACCTCATAATAACCCTGCAAGGTAGATGCTATTATTAGTTTTATTTTACAGATAAGGAAACTGAGGCAGACAATTATGTGGCTGGTCTCACATTATACATTTAATATGATTCTGTGGCTGGATTTGAATTTGGGTCTTCTTGACTCTAAGTCAGTGGTCTCTCCTTTACACTATACCTAGCTGCATGTACTTATTTCATACAAATCTGTGTTAGTTCATACAAATTTTTCCATGCTTCTCTGAATTTCACTTAGTGTGCTATGAGAAATAGCCAATATTCCATTACATTCATATGCCACCATTTGTTCCACTATTGCCCAAATGATGGGTATCCACTTTGTTTCCAGTTCTTTACTATCATAAGTGTTGCTGTAACTATTTTTTATTTTTATTTTTTATTTTTTTTTACAAATCAAACCCTTCTATTTTTGACTTGACCTCATTAGGGATATGGAGCTGTACCTATTTTAGCTTTAAGTTCAAAACCTGATTTGCCTTTGGATAAAGGGGAGAGACAATTTTCAAATGAACAAGAAAGGGGATAGAAAAAAGAATTAGCATTTCTAAAAGGTTGGTAAAATAAAAACAACAACAATAACTTGTATTTTCAAAGGTATTAACTCTCCTCTCAGGACTATGTGTATGACAAGGAGAAAACTACAACCAAATCTGTAGGATGTGGCAAAAGGGAAAGAAAATGAATTCTACCTCCCTGAAGCAAAAGAGACTCTCCTGTCAAATACTTGACCTTAATATAGAAGAAACCACAATTTCTTATTTGAAGTGAAATTGAATTAACAGAAAAATACACCCAAAAGTGTAGCTTTCTCCAATATAATTTTCTACTTGGTCTTCATTCATGTGCTAGCTCTACTTTTGAAAGTGCTAGCTGGGTGACTCTGAGTAAGTCACTTAACCCATATGAGCCTCAGTTTCTTTGTATGCAACATAGGAACAATAATACTCGCACAACTTACTTCCCTTCACATAACAGTTGTGAAGAAATCATTTTATAAACCTTAAAGTATAATATCAGGTGATAATATTATATCAGTGTGAATTATTATAATTCTTCTTAATGATGATGAGAAATTGTTATTAATAACCAGTAATTTGGGGGGAAATTCAGAGCTCTTCCCTTCTTCTAAGTCCTTTAAAAGTTCAGTTTTCTTCAGGAGGACATTACTGATAATGAGATTGAAATGACTCTCTTCACTCTGGGTCAGACCCCACCCAACCCTACAAGGAATTTAATCTAAGGTGTTCTGCTCAGACTTGGGTTGGGTATACATTCTTTGAATTACTAGCCTACAGGGGGCAGCTAGGCGGCACAGTGGATAGATCTCCTACCTTGGAGTCAGGAGGACCTGAGTGTGACCCTGGGCAAGGCACTTAACTCCCCCTATCCAAGGGATACTCAGTCCTTTGTTTTAATATAACCCACCTTCAATGACATTAACCAATTAGATTTGATTGCTGTTTGATGGCCCACCTACTGTTCTGAAAGGTATATAAACTGTGAGTCTGCTGCCATGATTGTTTTTGGTCTGAGACGGCCAAATGACCATCCTTTTATTAATAACCTACTGGCCTTATTAATAAAATGATTAAATTAGCCAGAAACTATGTCTCTCAAACCTTTTTAAATGTCACATGATGATGGTGATGATGATGATGATGATAAAACCAGGAAAAATGCTTTGACCTTCTGATGTTTTACCAATAGAGTACTTTCACATACTTCTCTTTCCTAAAAAGCTCCCAACCCAATTCCTGAAACTAATTTTAACACTTCTGCAATGGTTCATTTGCAACAGCACAGAGAAAGGAATCAATCCAAGGATTCAACCCTACGGTGATTAGAGTCTTCTCAATATAAGCAGATGGCAAGGTTAGTAGCTCCAAGTGAGGCACAAAAGGCAGAAGCCACTGAGTCCTCACAAGATTTGGTTTCTTCATTTAAAAAAAATCTGTCTTTTTAAGATTGGAAAGTGAATTACTGAGACCTAAGTCTGTGAACAATCACAGCATTACTACTGCATTTCTTGTGTTTCAATTGCTTTTCCCCTTCAAATTAATCCTCACCCATTTAAAGAGAAGATCAATACAACATACAATGTATGAAATGAACAAAGCTGAACCATTCCACAAATACAACATCCAGAGCTCAAAGGATTTAAGCAATTCTCAAAAACCATTAACTCCAGGATTCCCCCAAGTGGGACCCATCTCTGACCAAGAAAAGATACTGCTGGCTTTAAGATATAGAATTATAGGCTTATAGAAAGCTAGAGCTAAAAGACACCTTAGAGATCGATCGCCTGGAACAGCCAACTCATTTTACCAGGGAGGAAATTAAGGCCCTTCCACAGAGGTAAAGTAATTCATCCAAGGTCATATGACTAGTTAATCAATCAATGAACAAACATTTATTAAGTGCCTATTATATGCCAGGAACTATACCAACCACCAAAGATACCAAAAGAGGCAAAAGACAGTCCCTGCCCTCAAGGAGCTTACAATGTGAAGGGGAAGAAAACATACAAACAAATACATGCAAAGGAAGGATAAATAGATAAGGATAGGATAAATAGAAAGTAACTAACAGAGGAGATGCACTTGAATTAGGAGGAGTTGGGGGACCGCTTCCTGCAGAAGCTAGGATTTTAGCTGGGGCTCAAAGGAAGCTTGGGAGTCAGCAGTCAAAATTGAGGAGGGAGAGCATTCCAAGCTTGGGGAACAGCCAGAGAGAATGCCCAGAGGGTGTCACTGGATTGAAGAGTATGTGTTGGGGAGAAAAGTATAAGAAAACTAGAAAGGTAGGAAGGAGCTAGATTATGAAGGGCTTTGAATGACATACAGGGCATTTTGTATTTAATACTGGAGGCAATATAGGGTTGAGATCTGCACCCCAGAAAGGAAAATCCTGGACTTTCCCACATGGCCAAATCTCTGGCATTCACCTGAGGCTATAATCCCATCAACTGGCCTTTCACTGTGGCTACACCCAATCTCCCAATTCTCTGTTACTCTTAACCTAGCCTAGCCCTCCATTGTCTTACCTCCCTATGCATCCCTCCCCACCCCTACCCCTTCTCACCCTTAATCTTAGCTAGGCTCCATTCTTCCTTGGCCATGTGGTCCAGGTCCCTGGCATTCTATTACCTCGCAGTGCCTGAAGCCTCCTTGGCCACTCCTAGATCCCTCCCACAGTCTTTCTGTACATAAGGTCCATTCTGTCTCCATTAAGGTGCTCAGAGATTTTATAATCGAGCCAATAGCTCACTAATGTTCAGACTCCTTAAGAGTCTGCCCACTATGATGGATGTTCTAATAAACTTTGACTTTGGCTGAAAGAAGGCTTGGGTCAAATTCTTTTAAGCAGGACCCATGATTTTGGAGTCCCAACACCCCTAACCTCTAAACCTCAACATAGAGAGCCACTGGAGTTTTTTAAAAGGTAGAATGACACGATCCAATTTGTGTGTTAGGAAAATCATTTTAGGGGCTGAATGGAGAACACATTGGAGTGTGTGTCGGGGCGGAAGACTTGAGACAGGCAGACCCATGAACAGGTTATTTAAATAATGAAGAAGGCCTGTATTTGAAGAAGGACTGTATTAGAATAGTGGCAGTGTTAGAGGAGAAGGGAGCATATTTGAGAGATGTTCTAAAGATAAAATCAACAGGCTTTGGCAACAGATTGGTTAGGGCAGGATGAGAGATATAAGAAATAATGAATTACAGATCTTAGAACTGGAAGGGACCTTAGTAATAACCAAATGGAACTCTTTCATTTTATAGATAAGGAAATTGAAGTCCAGATGATGAGGTCTAGAGGTTTAGGGGTGCTGGGACACTGAAATCATGACACAGGGCTCCTGCTCGAATGAATTAGACCCAAGCCTTCTTTCAACCAGAGACAAGGTTTATTAAAAATCCACCATATTGGCCAGACTCATAAGGAATCTGAACATTCGTGAGCTATTGGCTAGGTTCTTAAGGAATCTGAGCAGTGGCTAGATTTTAAGAATCTGACCACTTTAACGGAGACAAGATGGACCTCATATACAGAAAGACTGTGGGAGGGATCTAGGAGTGGCCAACTAGTTTGGGGTGACTGCAGGGGTCTCAGGATGATCTAGATGGGAATGGCCAGTAAGCTGGGATGAACAGAACACCTGGGGCCTGGGACCTGGACACACTGCCAAGGGAGAATGAAGTCTAGATAGGATTAAGGGTGGGAAATGGCCTGGGCCATCTGAAGGTAGGGCTAGGTAACAGAATTGGGAGACTGGGCGATAATGAAAGGCCAATTGATAGGATTATAGCCTCAGGCAAATGCCAGAGATTTGGCCATGTGGGAAAGCCCAGGGTTTTTTCCTTTTTGGGGCAGATCCCATCCTCATCACAGAGAAGTTGAGTCATCCAAAGTACAGCTAATTAACTACAGTGCAAAGACCACGAGGAATTTCTTTAGACTCTTTACCCAGTGTTTTTCTTCCCTACACATCAGAACAGGTTTGGGAATCAGGTCTCTTGATTCCTTTTAAGCCAAGAGCCCTTTCTGATGGGGTGCTTGGGTGCTTGTACTGGGACCCCAATTCCAAGACCATATTTCTCCCTTGCCTCAGAAACACTATCCCTGGGTGTTTCCCCCCAGCCCAAGGACTCTGTGCCTAGCAATTACTCACGAGTGGGCCTCAGCAACACACTTATCTTTCTCCCTGGTGCAGTTACAAACGGCACCTGAAGGAATTATTAGTTTGAACTGGCTTTGCACTGGATCATAAAGATATTCATACCCATTGGGCTATCTATACTAACTCCCTACCTCATTATCTATATCCTGGACTCCTCATTATATGTATTACGGACTTAAGACATATGTATACTCCCTACATTTATCTTGTCAAACAAGACATTTATTGGCGGCAGACTGGGCAGCCCTCAGTTGGTCCTGACCACTAGTTAACTTAGTGACATAGTAGACCTAAAAACCACACCTCCATGTAGCCCCACCTTGGGCTTTTCCTGGTAAACTCTGGATAAAATGCCCGTGTAGTAGATATAAAAAGTGCATGTTCCTTTAAGAACTGACCACTCCTTACCCTCTCCCTAATACCACCCTGAATCACCTAATTAGCATATTTGGCACATGTTTTACTATAGTTTAGCCTATATAAACTTTAAATAAGGTCACAGAATCCTTGCCTGCTGAAAAGCATAACAATAAATCTTTGCCAACTTGATTTAAAGAATGCTTGAGTCTGTGAATTCGTTCCAGATGACCCCATCCTGTACTCTGGTCTTTGAGGGGTCTCAGCCTCTCAGACTGCAACATTTCCACCAAAATATAATTAATTCAACTTAACTGGTCAAATATTTATTACACTTCTATTATATGCCAGACACTCTGCTAGGTCCTGGTGATATGAAAATAAGAACGGCTTGCAGCCCTTAAAGAGCTGATAAAGAACTTGGTGATCTCTAAAATGCATTTCACTGAACTTTTGCATCTGCATGGGGACAAGTTTGTGCTTACCTGTTTAAAGTTGCCACTACGCCTTTGCTCCCAGTCCATCATATCATGGAAAATAGGAATCATTACATTCCGGAGGTCTGGCTGAGGTATCAAGGTTACTTCTAAGAAAGGGCCAATCAGTGCAGGAATGAAATGAAGCTTGTGTTCTCCTAAATAAAATAGAGAAATCTGAATTTGACAGTGATTCATAAAACTCACAGTATGAAAGAGAGAGCAAAAGACATCACAGTCTTCAATTACAGATCTATCCCATATTAGAAAAGAGAGGTCCTTGGAAAACTTGTTTAAGAGTAAACTTTTGCAAAGCGAATCTCATTTGCCATGAAATCCCCATTTAAATGGGAGGATTTTGCCTTTAGGAAAACATTTTGGTTGAAAGACAGTGATTCTCGAAGGGTATACTTTGAACTCTATTGAACTTACCCTTACACATGTATGTGTGTGAATCTCTCAACTCTCCCATAGTGTGTCAGGATTCCTCATAGCAAGAAATAATATACTGTGCCATGTGCAAAAATGTTTTTAAAAAATTGAGAACTGGGGCAGGTAGGTGGCTCAGTGGATAGAGCACCAGCCCTGACGTCAGGAGGACCTGAGCTCAAATCCAGCCTCAGACCAAACTTGACACTTACTATCTGTGTGACCCTGGGCAAGTCACTTAACCCCAATTGCCTAAAAAACAAATTGAGAACCACTGCTCTATGATATAATAAAATGACATAATATGAATACTGGAGATGTTTTCAATCAATCAACAAGCTTTTATTAAGCACCTACTATGTGCAGGCACTACACTAGGTGCTGATGATATAAATAAAAGAATGAAACAATGGCTCCTTGCAAGGAGCTTACACATAATAAGCTTACACTTTTTGAACAGATGAGGAAACTGAGGCAAAGAGAAGTTAACCGACTTGCTCAGGGCCACACAGTAAATGTCTGAGGAAGGATTTGAACTCAGATCTTCTTAACTCCAAGTTCAACACTCTATCAGCTGTGCCTCTACTCAAATGTGGGTTGGTGGTGTAAGTGAAATACATAGTACCTGTCGCAAACTGTTAGTTAACCCACATATTTCAAAAATTAAGGAATCTTTGAGACCATAATAAACAAGGATCAGTCAGAGGAACCGGACAGACAACAATACTTGGGGGGAAGGAGAATGAAGCACAAAGCTATCTTCAAGTATTTGAATAGCTATCTTGTGGAAGAGGAATTAGATTCGTTCTTCTCAGACCCAGAAGGCAGAACTAATAGCAATGGGTAGGAGTTCCAGAAGTAAATTTAGACTTGACATAAGGGGAAAAAACCCCACAAAATAAAACTTATTAACAATTTATGAAAATAGACCAGGTTTCCTCAGAGTGTGATGAATTTCCCTTCACTTGAGGTGTTCAAGTGGAGGCTGGATTATCACATTCTGAGGGTCTGTCAAATGGATTCTCATCCAGGTATGGGTTGGATTGTTTTCTGACATTGCTCCCAATTCTGAGACTTTGTGATTTAGTAAAAATAGAATTGACTTTAATCTTATTTCAACTCTTCAAGGATCAAGGTAAGTATTCCCATAACCAATATAAATCACAACTCATCTGTGACTTTGTAAATAGTTTTTGAGAGATTTTATGGCTAGAAAATTTATCACCCCAAGCCAATCTAGTGATAAGCATCTTTGAATTTGGCTAGGCTGGTCTTTAAATAGAAAGCATGGAGTCCTGGTCTGACTCAGGGTTAGGGTCTACAGGATGGCTAAGGTATAAGACTCTTACCAAACTGGAGATGCCTTTCAAGGGTCACAGGGGTCAGATCACTGACTAGTTAGAACAAAAGTTACAGTAAATACTAAATAAGAAGAAAGAAAAGAAAACACGGAGTCTTCTGACATCAGCTCCAATTCTGTTTAAATGGTCCATCCTTTCAAAAAAAAAAAAAGGAAATGGGCAAAAGTAGACTCTATGTCCATTTCTTAGAGAAGTTTAACTGATTCAAAATAGTCGACATAACAGAAAATACAAAAGACTGGAAATTGCTACAGAAATTAAAAACTTAATTTATTGCCTCTTGGAGAGACATGGAAATCAAGGGCAACACTGAGTTTTAATACAAAATGTAAATTCCTTTCCAAAACATTGAAGAGTAGGAGCTGGAAGACTAAGCAGGATCACATCATAAAAACATTCTGAGTAGAAAACAATGCTGCAGCACTTGAAATGAAATCCAGCTAAACCGGGTCATTATAAGAGCTTTTGTAGAAAATAAAAATAGAATGGAAACAACAAAGAAATGCCAAATGGAACATGCCATATTACAGCAATGTACTCTCATTGATGATGGACTCCTTTTGGAAAATTCTGAAATACTCTGAATGATTCTAAGCTATGCATTGCCACAAAAACGCATCTCTCTAATAACAATATTATGTCAAATATACAATATGATTATAAACCATGGAGTAGCACTAGCCAGGAAGGATATGTATGTATGTATACATACACATATGTGTATATAGTCCAAGGAAGAATGGGAATATTCATGATTCATGCATGTAGACTACAAAATATAATCGATAATGAATGGTGTGTAAAAGTGATACAAAAGATGAATGGAGACTTAAATGACTGATAAAGGACATGGATTCATCATGCAGCAAAAATGATGGAAACAGAAGGACAGTCACATGAGTATCATGCAGATGTTAAAATAACCAGAGAAAGACTTTCAGCACATTGGGTAAATCATCTATAGAAAGACTTAAAAAAGAAACACTGATCATGAATGTGGAGAGGTTGTGACCTGTATAAATTACCCACAGGGATGAAAATCACAGAGCAATCACTATTTTCATAGGTAGGAATTTTCACTTAGTGGGTTTCCTTTAAGTGAAAAATACCCAAAATTATCTAACTCCTTGACTCAGGAGGATATTTTACATCAAAGGTTGCAGTCATTAATGTCAATATATGGACCAGGAAGTTCTGGTCCAAGTAAAGAAGAAGACAAAATGTTCTCCTCTCATGGAGTCATTTAGGACCTAGGGATTCTTATCAAGTTTTAAGGTTTTTAAATTTTATAAAATTTTACAACATTCATTGTCAATATCCACAGCAAGACAGCAAAATAAAATGTGTTATAGTGGTAAGATTAGGTTGTAGAGCTTTCTAATAATAACCAAATAGAAGTCATTCCAATTTATCAGCAGGGGAAGCAATCAATTGGGGCTCCAAGAAACCACAAAGGCCATGGTGAAGTGATAAAGGATGGGGCAGCCATGGAAAACCTAACACATGAGCTAGCTCAAACAGCGAAGGAACAGATGTATCTGAAGTACAAAAATCACCTATCTTGCTAGATGCTCTATGAAATATTTAAGTGAAGCCTACTGTGAGGTCTGCACTGTGCTAGGACACTGAAGATAGAAACAAAAGAGTACCTGTCCTTGAAAAGCTTTTATTCTACTGAGTTTGATCAGTTTTTTTAATCTGTCTTAGATTAATTGCAATTGCCTGGATTGCCTTTTCTGCTTAAAAGAATATAGGTTTTTAATCATATTGTATTCTTTTCCAAATACAGCTTTTGCTGGTATAGACTAAAATAAATAATAAAAACACTAACTCAAATCCAACTGAGCAATCAATGAAACTGATTCCCCCTTTCCATGTTCCTTTTTAACTTCCATCTTTTGTGTTAGATTTTGGATTCAAAGCCATATTTTCCACAGTCATTTGCCAATTTCAGAGTTAAATGCATGCACATTAATTATATTTCCTTTTATTTTGCTTCTTAAGGTAGCACAAAGCACAGAGTGCCCAGAAAACTGAGATGGGTGGCAAAGTTACACTGTACAACAGCAGTTCTCTGCACAAGTATAGATACATTTCCTTTCAATCTTAGACAAGTCTTCAAAGTAAAGCTAATGTATAAATCAGCACATCTTTTGTTGTTGTTTGGTCTTTGTCAGTCACGTCCAAACTCTTTGTGACCCCATTTGGAGTTTTCTTGGCAAAGATACTGGAGTGGGTTAGCCATTTCCTTCTCCAGCTCACTTTACAGATGAGGAAACTGAGGCAAACAGGGTTAAGTGACTTCTCTAGGGTCACACAGCTAGTCAGTGTCTGAGGCTTGATTTTAACTCAGGAAATTGAGTCTTCCTGACTCTAGGCCCTGTATTCTCTCCACTGCACCATCTAGCTGCCCCCAACATGTCCTTAAAAGGGAAGAAAACTATCAAGAATGAGGGATGAGAAAAAAGAGGGAATAGAAAGTTGGTGTCTTCATGACTAATCAGGCATGAAAATACATCTCCAATTAACTACAGTTTGACCTTATTACCTGAATAGCAGCCTCATTTTCAGGGCCAAGGGAGCACACAAGGCCATAAGTATGTAGTGGGATTAAGTGTTCATAAACCCATTCTAAATAATCAATATCATAATAATGGCTTATATTTAGGCAACACTTTAAAGTTTTCAAAGCGTTTTCTTCACTGTGGCCTATATGGCACAGTATAAAGAGCACCAGCCCTGGAAATCAGAGGACTTAGATTCAAATCCTACCTCTTCTACTCACTTTGTGACTTTGAACAAGTCATTTAGTTCCTTTGAGCCTCAAATGATTCTTTTACAAAATTGAGGGGGTTGGACTAAATGGCCTGTATTTATGATCCTATAAAGCAGCGGTTCCCAAATAGTGGTTCATGAATTTCCTGGGGGTTCATGATGGTCCAAAGGATAGGTTCCCAAAGTGGGTGATACTGCCCCCTGGGGGCACTGGAACCAATTAGGGGGGTGGTAGTAGTCTGGGATGCAATTGGGGGGCACTGAATAAAAATAGGGGTGGTGGAAACATAAAGAAAGAAGAGGATTCTGAAAAATGTTTCGTACATGTTTCATCTGTTGTGTAACAGAGTAAAAGTCAAAGTGATTACATTATTTTCCAAATAAACATACAAAATGCAAGTTATAACCTATCAGTGGTCAAATCTGCCAAAGTCTTAACAAGCAAGTGTTGGCAGGTGAGTGTGTCGGGGAAGTCCAGCATGCATCAGTAGGAATATATGTGTATAATGACTTGTTGACAACACAATTCTATATGGTTACAGGACACAATATGGTGTCATCAAAATTTCAATGTAGGAAAAAACCCACAAATT